CCAGGCGGCTGGTACGGCCAGCGCTATCACCTAGAGACGCGAGCTATGCAGAGTGGTTCAAACTGCATTGGCAGACTACGCTCGCGGGTGAAAGGAGCGGTATATAACGAGAGCCAGGAGCCAGAGTATTCACTCTCTGATGAGACCACTATCCGAAACGTCAGATAATAAATAAACCTCTCCCGGTAAACGCCCTTTCTCATTCTAAGTTAAGATCGTTCAGATAGGATTGGCTTGTCACGTTTTGCAGTTTCCACATCCTTCTCATCCTCCACTGCAAAACTTGCCATCACCATCAACGACCATTAACTGGCTTTTGCTGAACCACTGCCACGAGACGTGCATAACCAGATGACCGGGTTTTAAAGTACACCGCAGATAAAACAGATGGACGTAAATCCTCTGTCTCGCAGAAACCAGCGCTCCTATTAATTTCCAGTCAGCCATCTGGAACATGACCAAATTCTGCATAGTCATTCTTAAGAAGCACAAAACGGCGAAACCACCGAAGAAGTTCGCATAAGCAGTATTTTATTTGTCCTGTATCGGGCATACAATGTTCCTTAAATAAGCACTGTCGGAAGTTCCATTCAGCATAAAATCTCGCACTTAGCAATGCACACAGATAGGGAAACTGAAAGACCCAATTTTGCCTGTCATTAATTCTTAAATGAAAAGGTACTGTTAAGTGCAGTCCGCTCTTATGCGAAAGCAACGCTTTAGGTCAGCCACCTGACATCTACTCCTAGCCTGTTTATGCACGTCCACATTGACATGCAGTGCAGTGAAATTTCTTTATGCTGGCCGTCTATGTTGGTGGTGCAGAGAAGAGTAAAAGCTGCAGGGAGAGGGACTCCTGTATTGCTCTCTTCGGGCCGAAAGTTCAAACTAAATTAAAAAAAAGTGGGAGTGACGCCACCCTACTAGATTCCCAGTTTGAAATTTCAGCTACTAGACTGTGCAGACGGTAGGTGCTGTCCTCCTAGAAAAAAAAGAGATAACATGGGGGTTCTCGCGTCAGCCTTTGACTGTCAAAAGCACAGTTAAAGTGC